TAAGTGATTCTATAAGTACTTATCGTACTTTAATTCATATTCAGTCTAAAGCCATAAAGTATTATTAGACTTTGAATATTCCTTAAATTTTATAAATACCTTTGAGTATTTCGAAAGCCCCATCAAAACGGTAACAATACTAAAGTTTTTTTTAGTTAGTTGAGATGCATAAAATGAAATTTTGAAATTATCAAAAAGTTTAATAGTATTTAACTTGATATTTTTTTAAAAAAAATTACTTTATTAATTTCAAGCTTGAGATTAACATTATCCAGAAAATATAAATTATAAAATTGATAATTTTGTATTTTATATTTATAACTTTCTTTAGTCTTAGCTCTTTTACACTTGAATTAAAATCCAATTCCTTTGACATGTATTTTCTAATAGCATTAATAATGAATAACAGTAAGTAATTTTTTGATCAACTAAAATTTGAACAGTTTCTGATTGTTTTAGTTTTATTCTTTTTCAATTAATATAAATGATTAGATGAATTATTATTTTATTTAACTTGCACTTTTTTTTTGACAACAAATCAGAATACTTTAATTTTCACAAAACACAGATTTGCTGGCTGAATTTTTGTTTTTCTACATTTTTTGCTAGGGATCTCTTCTTTTCATGTACTTGATTAATTGTGTTTAGTAAAGTGTTATGTAAAGATTCTCCATGAGTTGTCATTAATAAGGATTTTATAAATCTGGTCCATATATTCGAGATCAGAGATCACCATTCATCATCAAATTCACACATTGGAATTTCAAATGGTTAATTGATTGATTTGAAGAGAAGAAAGTATGTTTGATCAGGTGATATAAAGAGCTTATTTTCATGTCATATTTTTTAGTTCTTGAAAAGAACACATTTTTCTTAGTATATTGTAACACATTTTAAATAAAATACAGGAAAGAATTTTGTTATAGTGCAACGAGTAATGGAAAAGTGCATAGTGAATAAAAAGGAAAAATGTATTAGCGAGTAAAAAGTAATATGAAATGAGAAGAGGAATTTTTTGTCAGTGAATAATTTTTTTGTTTATGTCAGCAAAAACAAAATTACAAATAACAACACAATCTGAGTTCATAATCAAAATCTTTCAGAATTCTTTCTAAACAAATGTAAAGCACCAACAGCAAGCAGCAAACAGCAACAGCTAACAAGTCAAGATTGTTTTGATATACGTGTCATGCACTCGGAAAATCGATTTCCCGACTGCATCGCCGAATTCCTCCCGAAGTGATTTCAGCCACAAATATCACATGACAAAATCACATGACAAAATCACATGTCCACCAGGCTTTAGCCAACCCCTCGATCAATTTAAGACATGATATCTCGACAACCAGGCTTTAGCCAACCCCTCGATCAATTTAAGACATGATATCTCCAGTGATACAATTCGAATAAAAATAATACCGTTCGATTCGTCTTGACTAGACGAATCGAACGGTATTATTTTTGTTCGAATAGGATCACTGGAGATCGAGATATCACGTCCTAAATTTGCTGATTCATTTTTGTTAATATCAAAAAAATGAATCTGCTACTTTAGAGTGCTATATTTCGACATCCAGTGATCCGATTTGAACAAAATATTACCATTCGATTCGTCTCAACTAAACGAATCGAATGGTAATATTTTGTTCAAATCGGATCACTGAATGTCAAGAATTAAATTATTGAATATTGAGATGTGTGTTATTAAATGACTAATTATATTTTGGATGCGAAAGTTTCTAAACATACAATACCCAATATAGAAGTTCTATCAATCAATAAAAAGGTATCAATGATCAGCGTTTGTGATGTCTTTGTGCTCGGAAAATTTCAGAGCATTACACATAATTTTCGGAAAGTTATCGGGGGTCAGTTACTTATGGAGGGGACTATAATTTCATTTGTTAAGTCGAGTTACTTTGGCTAAAGATTCTTTAAAAACTACAAGCACTATAATATACAAAATAAAACAATTAGTAAGAGAAAGGTACAAAGTTTTGTCGAGCTTGGCAAATTTTGACAATATTGATATGCCTTAAGGGTGTTAGCATAGAGGTGAACTATGTAAATTTTGAGCGTGTGAACGGGTGTCGATCTCTTAATCGAGACAAAAAATTGATCGACTGTAAATGTTACCAAGTAAGAAAGGAACTATCGCGAAGTCAAGCTACTTTGGCTGAAGATTCTTTAAAAACTAGAAGTAAGATACTGGGTTTTATCTAGCTTAGCAAGATTTGACAATATATCTTATGTCATAAGGGTGTTAGTATAGAGATGAAGTTGGCTTTCAGCGACGATTTTCTATAGTAAACTATGTAAATTTGAGCGTGTGAACGGGTGTCGATCTCAATCGGGACAAAAATTGATCGACTGTAAATGTTAATCGCAAAGTCAAACTACTTTGGCTGAAGATTCTTTAAAAACTGCAAGCACTATATTATACAAACTAAAACAATTAGTAAGAAAAAGGTACGAAGTTTTTGTCTAGCTTAGCAAGATTTGACAATATACCTTATGCCATAAGGGTGTTAGCGTAGAGATGAAGTTGGCTTTCAGCGATGATTTCTATAGTAAACTATGTAAATTTGAGCGTGTGAACGGGTGTCGATCGATCGGTTTACTGACCGATCGGTAACCCAATCGTTCGGAACCCTAGTTTTCATCTTTTTGTGTTCCAATACAATTCGTGTAAGAGAAAGCAAGCTTAAATTTTCCATGAGCATCGCCACCCTTTGCTGATTTCAAAACCACTCAAATGCTTTTTTCTCATCTTTTTGTGTTCCAATACCATTCATATAATAGAATCCAGGATTGCTTTGTCCATTTCCACCCTCCGCTGATTTCAAATACCACTCAAATGCTTTTTTTCATCTTTTTGTGTTCAACACCATTCATATAAAAAACACCAAGTATATATTTATTATTGTGACGAGTATAATGAAAATTATGTGATTGTTGCAGCTGTTGTTTGTATTCGATATATTCTAAGGAGGCAGAAATCGTGTCTAATGGATAGCAATCGGTTTGTGGAGAACTTGGTGGTCCATTGAATAAACTATTTGAATCGGTTGTCTTCTTGCATTATAAGCACTGTTTAATACGTAGATCCAAAATGGAATTAAAATCCAAAAAAAGACACTCGCACAAAAACTCACGTGTTGAACTCTCCATGCATTTTTCGATGCAAGGTAGCGTAGTTCTCCGAGTAAAGGTCTTTCCACAACCTGAGTACGAGCAAACGTATGGTCTTTTGCGGTGTGGGTGCAGCGATGACGAGCTATGATGAAGACTATTTTTGATTGAATGAGAAATTATTAGATTATTTTTAATTAATTTGTAATCCACAGATAGGAAAAAGGGTTATGTGAACAAAAACGCACAGTATACGCCGCTCTTTTTACAATGAAATACTCAATGTCAAGAAATAGGAGAAAAACAAAACATTGATATTTTTGGAGAAATAGAGAAAATAATTAGATGATTAATAATTAATAATTGAAGATGAATACTTACATCACTAAACGACTTACCATAACATTGTTCGCAAGTGTGTGGTCTATCACCAGTGTGAGTACGAAAGTGAATTGTCAAAGCCGAGCGTTATATAAATTGTTTTCCAAATCCTTGCCATTCACAATGATATGGACGTTCCTCAGTGTGGATCCTCCGGTGTCGAGCAAAATCCGATCGTCTCGAGAAATCTTTGCCGCATTCAGCCCAATTGCATTCATAAGGCCTGTCGGATTCTAGTGGTATCATTTCCGTATCGGTATTTTCTCCTCCATTATTTGAATTCGGTGGTCTTGCTGGTGCACCCAGCCCACCATTCACACCACTCATATCTTTGTTCCCTACTAGTAATATCTTCATCTCTACTCAATCTTTATTACGTCTTTTACGCCCAGCGATTACTAATAATACATAATCAAAATATATCATATTATATCAAAAAATATATATATAAGCCTGATCACATCAACCAATAAATTCTGAATACAATGGACCTCAAAAATATTCTAAATGAAGATTCACGCGCGCGACCCACAGTCAGCATTTCAACAAGAACAGGATGATGTTACTAGTAGGAAACAATGATATGAGTGGTGTGAATGGTGGACTGGATGCACCAGCAAGACCACCGAATTCAAATAGTGGAGGAAAAAATACCGATACGGAAATGATACAACTAGAATCCGACAGGCCTTATGAATGCGATTGGACTGAATGCGGCAACGTTACCGATCAGCCGGTAAATTTCGATAATTACCGACGGTTTACCGAAATGTTGATCAATGAATCAATACTGTTACCGGGTTAAGAATAATTTCGTTAATTTCCCAATTTTGGTAAAACTCGCCTGGCCCGATTTCGTTAATTTATTTTTATTCGCTTCAAAATTCTATTTAATTTCACTTTTATTTTATTTTAATCTTGCTTTTGATCTTGCTTTTGTTTTCGCTTTTGACCTCGCTTTTGTTTTCTATTTTTTTTTCGATCCTAGATTCTCTTAAACAATAGAGTGCATTATGCAACAAGTTCTGAAACAATACTTCATAATGTAAACAAAAAGACGTATTTATAGTCCTCGCAAATGTTAATAAAAATTCAGAATTAAATTGCATACAATTCTTCAAGTAAATTAGGCTTGTAAAATTGTTGTAATTGATTGTGGTTAGGTCCTTTGATCCAGAAAAGGTGTTGATATTGTTAATAGCATATTGATTGATTGATTGATTGAAAAAGTGCTGTATGATTGAACAATTTAAGTCTTTTAGCTAGAAAAAGTAATAATTTAAAGTTAATATGAATATTATCAATAAATCATCACATAAAAACATAAAACCCAAAACCATCTCACCTAAAAACTGACCCTTCCAAACTCCCCTTTCTATCATCATACTGAACGATATTCGTAAATATCAGCACAGGAATTAGCAATGAATGAACATCACTTAGATTAATTACTCCTTCAACTCATTGTTATAGGTAAAATATCGATTATGCCTAATCACGATCTACCTGTGACATTCTTGGTACTCCTTCCATGGAATTCAAATCTATAGCACTATAGATCATTATCTTTTTGACCATATGCTATTTCAACAAACCACTTATAGAATGGAATTGGACACAAAAATCAGTAGTCGAGACAGCTATGAGCAAATTATATTCATAGTAAAAGAAGTTCTGAAACAAATGAAATTGAAAATCAAGAATTAGAAAATGAAGAAAATAACGAAATAACAGAAAATATGAAGAAACTTGTCCAAGTCCTGGCCAAATTCACTAATGTTATGAATACTGGATTGATCTAAAAACCAGAAAAGATCCTATTTTTTAATAGAAATATCACATTTTAATTCATTTTTTGAACTAAAGTTCAGAGTGCAAACAAGATACCTGATAAAAATTATCTTTACTATTTTAATTTTTTTTCATTTTTGATCAATAATCTATGTCTTTTCAATCTCTATGGGAAAATTATGTCTGGAATTTTATGTGATTTATACGTGATATTATGTTACATATACAGAATTTTACGGAGTCATACAGAACAATCATGGACGTGTCAGGACTGTATGTCAGGGATGCATAAGGAATGCAAAGAATCCATTTGGTATCTGCTTGGAACATATCAGAAATTATGAACTGTATATGTAACGAACAGAATACATACGGAAAACTATAATGTATATCAGAGATGTATAAGGAACACAAAATCTTTGTTCAGAAATTGTCATAATATGAATGTAATGTATATGTAATGATCAGAATACATATGGAAAACCATAATTCATGTCAGAGATATATAAGAAACACAAAAATCTTTGTTTGGAAATTATCATAATACAAATGCAATATATACGTAACAAATAGAATACATACAGGTAATGTAAATACAATATATCGATATATATAGATCCTAATAATTTTCATGCTATTCCTAATCAATATGCGTATTATGCATTTTGATCTTATGTTAGTCTATTGTGTAATATCGATATCAGAATAAATAGTTAATTTTCTAATATAGCTGGTACAAATCACATTATCTATCTTAACAAATATAACAGAAATGAAACATGTGATTTTACTCATATTCATTACACACTAAGCTTCCACGGGAAACTATAATAAAGAAGTTTATAATAATTACAAAGTACAAATAAACAATTAATATATTTAGATTAATATATATGTCCTATATGAATTCTTCAATAAGATTATCTTCCTTATTCAAAATGTAAATATCTCTATTCATCTCAAAAAATTCAACAATTTTCCTTATTATTCTTACATTAATAAATTCATATCGTTCAAATTCATGAAACTTCTTGATTCCAAAAAGAAATCATTTTTTTCTTTTATCTGGAACATTTGCTTATCTTATATAAGTGAACATAACAGTTGCATTGTCATGAGTATGACTAAAGTACTATAGAACTTGATTATAAAAGATTTTGATAATAAATATTGTATTATTTCTTTGATGATCTGAAATTGGAGCTTGTAATTCATACTTTTTATATTAAATATAATTAGTATATAACAAATATAATTAAATCTATACAGTAATATAAGTTCTTACTGTAATATATTCATTATTTTTTGATATTTTAGTTTTTTTCAAAGATATTTCTAATCCAATTATATATCCTTCTTTTATTTATAATTATACATATTTTTGTTTATTATTTTGTAAATATAATTAATATAAAGAATATGAGTTTTTTAAAAATAAAATCTTAAATATAAAAATATAGGTTATTTATCTCATTCAATTCAATTAATATAGAATAATTTTCTTGATATCAACATATCAAATATCAGTATTCAAGATTTGATTTATCCATTATATAATGTTTAAATGATCACCAAATTTTTTTTATTATCAGTATTATAAAAGATTCTTTCTAATTTATATGTTTTCTTTTAAAAGAAAAAGATATTTGATCTCGTAATGTGATTAAATTTTTCAAGTAATAAAATATTGTTGATCAAATTTTAATATAACTCTGATTGTGATTTCACCATTAATTAAAAAGTAATTATAAAAACTGATAATTTGTTATCTCGATATTGATTATAATTTTTTAAAAATGCAAAATTTAAATTTTTAAATATAATAATAATAATATTATAATAATAATAAATCTTATCTAATATATAATTTAATAAAATTACAAAGTAATATTTGTATATCAGTTATATTTTGAAAAGTTATTATTTTTTTTGAATAGCTAAAATATATGATACTCATTCTATAAGAATACTAAAAGTAAAATTATTAGTATTAGTTTAAACAATAAATATAAATAATATTTTCAATATATAATAATAATAGATAGTTTTTTTAATAAAAGTATAAAATATAATATTGTCCAATTTATCTATTCTTTAGCTTTGTAACTTTTGTTATGATATATTATTATAGTAATAACAGTAATTTTGTAAAGTAAAAGAAAATTCTAAATTCTAAAAATAATTAAAAATATTAAAAATAGTAAACTCTAAAAAATAACAAAAATAATTTATTAATTATTTATTTTATTACTATTTTTTATCACTTTTATTATTTTTTATCATTTCATTATTTATCATTTTTATTATTTATTTTATTATTTGTTATTTCTCTTTATTCTTTTTATTATTTTATTATTAATTAGATAGTTATTATTATTTGAAATTATATTTTCAAAAATATATAAATAGAGATGCTATCTGAGTTTTAATTTAATATATTGTAACTAAAAATAAAAATTTTCTTAACAAAAATCTTCTTTTAAATATCTTTCATCTCTTATATTTTCTTTATATACTTCAAAACTTGTATATAAGTAATCTTATATTATATTATATCTAACAAATTGATAATAATTTTATATTATATTACGTTAAGCAAATTAATATTATTAATTTTGAACTTTATATTATATTATACTAAATAAATTATTATTAAGCTTTATATTCTATTATGTTAAACAAATCATTATATTAAAATTATTAAAATTAAATATTAAGTATTTTAATTTTTGTTATTTGAATTTTTAATTATTAATAAATATTTCTAACTTGTAAGAAGAACAAAGTGAAAGAGTCTTTGTTATTATTATTACTAATTATATTGTTCTAGCTCTGAAAAGTTTTATACAAGTATAAGAAATTAGCTTTTTAAATTACTTTTATTATTCTTTTATTATCTTTTATATCCTCTTTTCTCTTTGATTTTTACTCTCCTACAACTTTTTTATAATTATTATTCTTTTAGTTAACACAATTTTTGTAGAAATTGACATAAATTTTAGATACTCTTTCTTTTTCTTTTAATATTTTTATCAGTTTATTACTTTCTCTTAACTCAGATTCAAGTTTGTAAGTTAATTTAATAATTAGTAAACAAATATCTTATTTCTATTATTTGATTTTAATTTTGATATATTGTTATAAATTAAATTTAATTAAAAAATTTTCTTTTAGCTTTATTAATATTAAAATATTAAGTTATCTTAAAAAACTTGTTTGTAATATATCAAAATATATATTTAAGTTTTTATATTTCTAATTAATTTTTATGATGTTATAAAAAACTATTATTTAGATAATTATTTTTGTTTTATTTAAAGTATACTATCAAAATTTGATCAGATAATTAAATATAATTATAATAAGTTATTCTATAAAATAATTTAAGTTAACTTGATCACAATATATGAAATTGTATATCTGCAAATTTTTATATATTTTTAATTTTTTTATAGTAAAATAATAAAAAATATTATTTTTATTATATATAGTAAGTATTGTTCTCGTTAATTCAAAAATTATTAAAATTAATGAATTAACAAAATAACATAACAGTAAAAAAACAAAGATTGAATAAATTACAATTAATAGAGTTCACTAAAGATTTTAAAGATTTTTTGTAGTAGCTTGTATAAAAACTAACTAAATATTATCAATAAAGAATAGAAATAAATAGAAAAATCAAGTGAAAGTTTAAAAAGAAATAAAGAATTTAACAAATAGTTTTAAAGTGAATAACAGGACTTATTGAAAATGCTTAATGAAATAAAATAATAATTGGACTTATTGAGACTGTCAATTACAAAAAATAACTAA